GGTACCTAATAAGTTAATAGAATATGCAAAGGATGTTGTTTCACTTGTTTTGTCACCATAAACCCAAAGTTGCACAACTAACCTCGGACCAAACACCCTGCATTTTCTTTCCTGTGTAAGTGGAATTTTGTAATTTATTTATTTAGTTTGTTTTTAGCAAAACTGCTCACAGGTGCACACTATTTTGCATGCTTGCACCTGAGGCCAATTTGACATTAAAAGCTGAATGTTTATTGGATGGTGTGAGTTTGGAGAACAAGAAAACAAAACAAGCTTTCATTTCATCTCTTTACTTGGACAATAATGATGACACCCCACCCCTTCAGGTTTTCTCAGAACACAACAGTGCAATCACAAGGGCTGCAAAACAAAATTTTTACCTACAGAAACCACTGTAATACAATCGAAAAGAAAAGAAACGCCCTTGCATGTTATCCAAAACAGAGCTTCACAAAGAGATGACATTCATATCTGCATCTGTCTTTTCGTTATGACCAGTGTGAAGATTATTTTTTTGTTTTATTTCCATCATTTTTCATTTTTCCATCTTCTTTAACTTTCCATAACATCAGCTCCATGCAGGCGGCAGCATCTTCTGCAGTGTCATGGCCACAAACTGGGAGAAACAATAATGCATTATTTTAACACATGCAAACAATGAGTCATCATTCCCAGCAATAATTCTGTTCTATTGCTTCAAATGCATCTATTCTGGTGAAATGTATGCTCAAATTTTGTAGTGCGAGTGTGATTTACATCTTTATTTGGATTAAGACTTTGATGCTAAATTTTAGGTACATTCAAATAAAATGGACATTTGAAGGGTGGCTGTAGTTTATCCGTGATGACCCACCACTCTCTTGGATGATTCTCCGGAGATAGTCTGCAGTGAGATTGTTGAGGGTCAGCTTATGAGGGGGGCCCAGACGGTGGGGGAAGACTGCTGATGTGTCAACCACTGTCCCATGCAGCAGCTACAGTAAACAGGAAGATATCTGAAGCTCATATCACTGAGCATACTCTCCAAGGGAGTTATTCAATAATCAAACAATCGTAACTTTCAGCTTAGGTGTGAACTAAGGACTTAATCAGCAGTGGCATCTAGTACCTAGTACTTGAGAGTATTTTTTATTTTCTACTGTTTAACACTTCTATTCCACTACATTTAGAGGGAAACATACTTTTTTATTACACTACAGTTATCTGACAGTTTGAGTTACTCATTACTGATAAGCAGCTGGTTTTATAATACCGCTTTAAAATATGTGCAGTATGAAAAACCAATTTGACAATTATACAACTTTGGAGCAGTATTTGTAATGTAATAATTCTAAAATTATACCAGAGTTTCCCCATTTCCATGAAGTGTTTACATTGCTCTGTCGGTACCCTGTATATTAGGTTAATGGAGTTTAAAAACAACAACAACAAAATCTCACCAATCTGCCATCTGGAAAAATAGATGAACTTCTTGTAAGAACATACAAGAGAAGCAGAAAAAACGTCCGCTCTCGCTTTGTCAGGTCTGACAAAGGTGTCGTAGACTATTATGACAGTATATTTTGTTGATAAAAAAAACAAACATGATGTGCAAATGAATGTGATATCATTAGTTGTTCAAGCAGCAGCAGCAGCAACAACAACATCAAAACTAACTCTCTTATTTGGAAAAAGGACAGCTATGTGAAATGTGACTCGCTCAACAATGTGCACGTAACATGGTGTCGAAAACTGAGAACTTCAGCTGTGTGATCGTATCCTGGTTTCGAAAACTGAGAACTTCAGCTGTGTGAGACCATTTAGCCAGGTTTTCAACAGATAAATGTTGTGGAAAAGCTTATAGTAGTCACCTTCAGGGCACAGAGGTCTGCTTCTAGGCCATGTCCAATCAAAATGGTGTCAGCGCTGATGAAGCCCAACAAGGTCTTTTGGACCTCTCTGAGGGAGGTGTGGTTACCCTTCACATCTTCCTCACTGATGCCTGAAAACCTAGGCATGTAAAGTGTCACACAGGCTATCCAAAGAGTAGTTGGTTTATTAAAACCCTTATAATACAGTAGAATCATTTCCTTTTATCAGCCTGCATTATTAGTGGTACAGTAATTGGTAATTACACCTGTGGCCAACTGTGCCTTTCAGACAGGGGCAAGACATTTCCTTGAACTGCGTATTATTACACTTTATATCCGTGTCTAGGTTTTTGCCAGTTTTATCAGTTTTGAGTTACTACAGAGAATGGATAGAGTTTAAGCAGGTATACAAGAGTATTATTTGGTCTTTAGAAAAAGTGGTGGAAAAAACAAAAAAACAACAAAAACAATTGTCAAGCATCTAACTACATTACCTGGTGTCATAGTCGACGACCTCATTATCAGGTCTGACAAAGGTGTCGTAGATGACTTGCAGACTGGAGTTGACCACCGTCACTCTAGACAGCTCCAGACCATGAATGGTATAACACTATGAAAGCAAACGTTAAAATATTGTTTCACTGCATATCCACCTTTGACAGAGTCGAGGCCAATTTGACATGAAACTTCAGCCTGATAATAGACAAAGATCAGGAGTAAAAAAAAAAAAGGGTTTTTTAAATTAAATTGTATATAGCAGGAAATGCTGAAACTATGTTCAGATGGGGGAATCTTGAATTCTAATGAAACCACCATCACAAACACAGCCACTGGAGGCTTTAGCTGAGTTTGGTACTTAACACAAGGGTGATCTTAAAAACCCTGCCCCTCAAAGAAGCTGACATCACCATTTCACAATCCAAAGAGTAGACCCCGGGACAGCTCGTATCTGAGGGTTGTCTGGGACCAGTCGACACAAACCCATCCAGGCTGAGGGAATTGTGGACATGCAGCTGGTGAAGACAAAATAACAAATTAAAAATACCAACTAGTATGTTGTCTGTAAAAGAACTTATTGAAATGTCTTTCTTCCTACCCTAAACACCTGACATCCAGGTGCTCCCATGTCTCCCTCACAGCAACTGTAGCGTGTCTCCACCCCACCCGGCACTGTAACAGTTTCAAAACATCCCAAATGCATTAAAATGTTATAACTTACACCATCATATTTCAAAGCATAAAACAATGCTATAGATCTGCAATGATTGGTCAATCACAATGCATATGATCAATTCAGTTGAAAATCAAATGTCATTCAGTAAGCAAAAAGTCTCAAATGCTGGACTTTGCTCTTGGTCTTCAATTTTAGTTAAATTTTTTTTTCTGAGTTTTGCAACATTGGTCAGAAAATAAGACACGATATTTCCATGGATGCCAAGTTAGTTATTGTAATAGACATTTTTCCAGTGTCTGTCTGGTGTTTTACAGACCAAATCACTTAAGAAAATAATTAGCTGATTGATAGTGAAAATAATTAAGTTTCAGCCCTAAAATGTTTTACTCGCCTCTATTCTCAACTCCTTTCCCGTAGTGGTAGTTGCACTCTTCCTTGCGAATGTGTTTGCCTGTTTGGCTCACAGAGAATGTAGTTCCACATCGACAGCAGAGCCTCTTGAGGGCTTTTACAGACAAAATAGAAAAAGCTCATCACCAGAGAGAAAACTGTTAAGAGATGTGCTATGAGAAGTAATCTTCACAACAAGAACAGGTGTTCCCTCTAGTGATGCAATATGAAACTATCATCTAACTGTATTTTCACCAAGTTTGAGTATACCGAGTATTATGTTTTCACTTACGATCTGTGCTGCCTTTCTTATTGTCAGCAAAAAGAGCAGCACAGCCAGGTTTCTCTGGGTGTTGGACAGGATAATTGCTCTCAATCAGCCTTTCCTCTGTCAAAATATAATCTTTCAAACTTTCATACAATGCCACGTCATCTGTTGGAAAAAGTGAACACACTGAGCAGCTGTCGAAATCTTTGAATAAAATGACAAATACATTCAAAGGAAATTAATTCCCACCATTTCCTTTAAGCATCATCCAGTTAAGTGGCACGTTGCCTTTGGACTTTTGGTGGTTGACTTCATTTTCAACTGCACCAGAAAAAATTAAAAAACAGATTAACTAAATTATGTCATACGAGCATCACTTACACATTTCCTAACCAACAGACTGGACTTTTCAGAGACTTTCACCTTTAGCTGCAACAGTATTTTGGTTCTTCAGCCTCTTTAGTGCATTCACTGCCACACTCAGATATTTGAGTTTATTGACACTGCGACTGTAAATAGTCCTCTCTTCAGCAAGGGCCTATCAACAACAGGAAAACAATAAATATCCAGACTATAATTTGTTAAAAAAGACAATTGGCAGCATATGTCCACCTTCTCAAAGGCATCATTAACACTGGCTGTTGTTCTCCTGAATTCCTCTGTGAACAGGCTGACATAACGCTGACGGACATCATGGGGCACTTTGTCTTTGGCGGCCTCACACTGCTGCTTCACTTTACGTTTAGTAGGCACTGGCTGAAAGAATAAACTCATTATCAATATTTAAGGGATTAAACATTTCTGCTATTCCAGATCCAAGTCAAGTCCAAAAGTAGTTCAATAAAGGTAGTCGTTCCCCCCCCCCCTTACCTTAGCAGCTGCAACTGGTGAAGACAAAATAACAAATTAAAAATACCAACTACTATGTTGTCTGTAAAAGAACTTATTGAAATGTCTTTCTTCCTACCCTAAACACCTGACATCCAGGTGCTCCCATGTCTCCCTCACAGCAACTGTAGCGTGTCTCCACCCCACCCGGCACTGTAACAGTTTCAAAACATCCCAAATGCATTAAAATGTTTATAACTTACACCATCATATTTCAAAGCATAAAACAATGCTATAGATCTGCAATGATTGGTCAATCACAATGCATATGATCAATTCAGTTGAAAATCAAATGTCATTCAGTAAGCAAAAAGTCTCAAATGCTGGACTTTGCTCTTGGTCTTCAATTTTAGTTAAATTTTTTTTTCTGAGTTTTGCAACATTGGTCAGAAAATAAGACACGATATTTCCATGGATGCCAAGTTAGTTATTGTAATAGACATTTTTCCAGTGTCTGTCTGGTGTTTTACAGACCAAATCACTTAAGAAAATAATTAGCTGATTGATAGTGAAAATAATTAAGTTTCAGCCCTAAAATGTTTTACTCGCCTCTATTCTCAACTCCTTTCCCGTAGTGGTAGTTGCACTCTTCCTTGCGAATGTGTTTGCCTGTTTGGCTCACAGAGAATGTAGTTCCACATCGACAGCAGAGCCTCTTGAGGGCTTTTACAGACAAAATAGAAAAAGCTCATCACCAGAGAGAAAACTGTTAAGAGATGTGCTATGAGAAGTAATCTTCACAACAAGAACAGGTGTTCCCTCTAGTGATGCAATATGAAACTATCATCTAACTGTATTTTCACCAAGTTTGAGTATACCGAGTATTATGTTTTCACTTACGATCTGTGCTGCCTTTCTTATTGTCAGCAAAAAGAGCAGCACAGCCAGGTTTCTCTGGGTGTTGGACAGGATAATTGCTCTCAATCAGCCTTTCCTCTGTCAAAATATAATCTTTCAAACTTTCATACAATGCCACGTCATCTGTTGGAAAAAGTGAACACACTGAGCAGCTGTCGAAATCTTTGAATAAAATGACAAATACATTCAAAGGAAATTAATTCCCACCATTTCCTTTAAGCATCATCCAGTTAAGTGGCACGTTGCCTTTGGACTTTTGGTGGTTGACTTCATTTTCAACTGCACCAGAAAAAATTAAAAAACAGATTAACTAAATTATGTCATACGAGCATCACTTACACATTTCCTAACCAACAGACTGGACTTTTCAGAGACTTTCACCTTTAGCTGCAACAGTATTTTGGTTCTTCAGCCTCTTTAGTGCATTCACTGCCACACTCAGATATTTGAGTTTATTGACACTGCGACTGTAAATAGTCCTCTCTTCAGCAAGGGCCTATCAACAACAGGAAAACAATAAATATCCAGACTATAATTTGTTAAAAAAGACAATTGGCAGCATATGTCCACCTTCTCAAAGGCATCATTAACACTGGCTGTTGTTCTCCTGAATTCCTCTGTGAACAGGCTGACATAACGCTGACGGACATCATGGGGCACTTTGTCTTTGGCGGCCTCACACTGCTGCTTCACTTTACGTTTAGTAGGCACTGGCTGAAAGAATAAACTCATTATCAATATTTAAGGGATTAAACATTTCTGCTATTCCAGATCCAAGTCAAGTCCAAAAGTAGTTCAATAAAGGTAGTCGTTCCCCCCCCCCCCTTA